AGCTCTGGGGGCGAGTGGTGAATTATGATACCGCACTACGACGTTGGAAGGCTTTCCAACGACGACGGGAAGGCTGCGATTCACCGAACACGATTCCCGTCGGAGTTTTAGGGAAATTAGAGTGGCTTCGGAAACGAGCAGTTTTAGAGCAGAGTCTACCTCGCGATCGTCGGGACGATATGTGGAGAAACCGGAGCAAAATAGAGAAAGATTGACTGAGAAAATCCGGGAGGGGAGAACGTCTGCGAAGAAATAGAAGCTCTCTCCTATAGCAGCCGCCGGTGAAGCGCTCCTTCTGTCTGCACTGCCAAGCCGCAACAGCGCTTACGAGAGTCTCCGATTCCGCGCGAATCCTCGACGTACCCCGAGGGATACCTTAAATGCGCTCCTGGGCCTTCCGTTGGGCATTCCGAATGCACCCCAACGGTTTCCTTCCTTTATTCTTCCAATGGCGGATGCAAAACAGACTTGTGGCTTTCCGCGCTATCTGGACAGCAGCGGGCTCCGCAACGGAACTGACACGGACCGAAAAAGAAAGGCGTTCGCAAGAACCGAAAATCGAGACTCTCCGTAGCGAAGGAGATGCAGTAGTGGTTCAGGCGAGAATCGCTCCTTCATGCACAACGGCGCGTAACTCCGAGGTCCTCTGGTGACTCCAATGTCGAGTACCGCGACTTTCCCTCATCAAATCACCAATTGTTTTGATCATTTCTTCGTTACGTCGAAATTCGTTTTGCACTCAGCTCGCATGCGTCGGTGCGTCCCGGACCCTCCTAGGCTTTTTTTCGTTGTTGCTCCCACTGCGGCCCTCCTCACAACCCGCCATGGGCCTTCGCTGTTGTTGGTGTTGTTGTCGTCGGCGTCGCCGTTGTCGGCGGCAGCAGCAGCAGCCGCGACGTCGTAAGGCAAAAAGCGTGTTCCGTGAAAGAGCGCATTGTGAGGGATGAGGACATCTCTACAAAGCGTCCATCGTAGCGTACGCTCGCTACTTGGCTTCCGTTCGAGAGCCCGCTGAGCTTTTTAACATTGGTTTAAGATCGCAAACTGAGAGAGGAGAGTTCTGCGCGTACGCGCGCAAGAACACGCCATCATGCCGCAAAGAAGCAGCTGCTCGTCAGTATTCTGGTTTCTGTGCTCGATTCCGTCATTGACTCGAATAGCTCAGCTCACCGTACGAAGCGGATGGAGGGCGATCGACCTCAGAACGGATTCACGAGGCGGAAACGTCGAACGCGGAAAATAATTTTCTGAATCAATTCACGAGAGAGGAGGCGGAGGATTACCACAGGGAGGATTTTCGCCGCGACGGAAATCCTTCGTGTCGCTCTCATTGCTCTCCTTTCTTTCTTGGCACTCTTTTTGACGTGAGGGGAGACGAGCATCCGCTAACGAGCTGATCCCCATCCGCGACGGCCGCCGCAACATCATCAAAGGACATTAGGAAAAAAGACATCAGAGGAGCCGATAAAGCGTGAGACTGAAAGGAAGGAACAGCAACTTGCGCCTTCCCACAATGGAAACGAGTAGAGCCTGATATTCTGACGATTCTCCTTTCGATGACCACTACGACGTCTATTCGACATGATCGGCGGATCCGGCAGACGATACGCTGCCGCAAGAAGCGGGAAGAAAGGATCCAGTGTGGCGACAGAGTATTGACGGCTCACGGCAACTGCGGTACCGTCATCAGCAGCGCGCCGCCACGCAACCGGACCACGAGCACCCGTTCGAGTTCGAATGATTCCAAAACCGTCGACAAATGAGCGAACGACGGTCGACGCTCGCTGGATGGCTAAATCTTCGATGGCTTCATAGGAGATAAGATTTTCGCTCGAGATCCGTTTCCGCGGAATATTTCGGCGGATCAGTAACAAAAACTGCTTCCGCCACGACTGACATCGGCTCGAAACAGAGGGGGGCTGGAGCGAGAGCTTTCCGCCGCCGGGATTGGGACGGCGGGGAGTATTCGTCGACAGGAGCCAAGGAGCCCTAAACTCTGTGACCGAAGCGATGTCTCCTGTAGGCCTCTTCAGAAGGGGGAAGCGAAACGCGGGGAAACCGTCCGGACGGAGGACGTAAGATAGAGTTAGCGCTCGATTGAATCTCTGCTCAACGTCGGCCCACAGCAACCGAAATCCGCGTCGGAAACGCATCATTAGCAAAACCTGAACCGCATGGACGAGAACAACGAACAAGTCCCGACGATGCTCGATGATGTTTTTACACGGCGAAGCAAGCGAGGATTCCGCCGGAATTTGTGGAGCTCAGCACCGCGAATAGAACTCTCAGCAGGCGGACGTGAGAAAAGACACTAACCCGATGAGCCAGCCGTATTGCGTTGGGCAGCAGAGCGACGACGCCGACGTAGGCTCCGGTCACTGGTTGCGAGCATCGCCGTCGAGACCGGAGCCCGACAAAACAAACCGAGAGAGCAAAACATCCCCGGTGCACGTGCCCAATGGCACCAAAAGTGAGTTTATCTATCTGCCTGTCGACTGAAAAGGAAACTCTTAGTTTCGCTTGTCGGACTCAAGCAGCACGAACACACATTTGTTTCGCAACAAGGAAGATGCTGTGGCGAAGGGGCGACCCTCGTGCAAAAAGCTTTGACTGAGTTCCCGCATGGCTGAGCATGCTTTTGAAACCCGGAATTACCCCGGACAATAACCAGGACAGAGGGGAAAAAATAGAGAGGAATGAGCGAAACGAATAAACTCGTCCCGTCGTCTTCGGTAAGAGCAGCCGGCTTCACGTCAGTCGAGCAGGGCAATCAGGATCCGACATGACAGGAGGTGTGCCTGACCTCCTGAGCCCATTTAGTGTTTGTCCGCTTCTCCACAAGGGTCGTCGCTGGTGGAGAAACCGAAAACGGCCGCCTCTGACCATCGATAACATGACAGGCCATTCGAGGTGAAACGGAACCGTCTTGCCCGGTCGCTGGCTTGCTTGCCAAGTCTTTTGCCAGGTTGACCACTCGCTTGTCAGCTCGTCCATTCGTTTGGTTTTGGCGAATCGCTTGCTTGGCACCGTGTATCTATCTGTCAGCCAGTCCACGGACTAATGACGTATGTGCATGGATTGCGTCAAGCATCGCGGGTATGGCAAGGAGCGACCTCATTCCATCGGCACACCAACGAGAAGGGAGAAGGTTTCCGAGATCGAAGCGTCGAGTATCGTTGCGGAATGTTCAAATCCGTTAAAGAGAAAAAAAAGAGAAAAACGGAAGGAAAGAGACGGAAACCGTCGTCATAGTCGGCTGACAGCAATGCTGCGGTAAATTAATTACGACCAGTTCGTAAACAAAAACACTAACGCCTGCCGCCGCCTGCGCGGCCACCGTACGCGTCTCGGACGGACCGAACAGCCTCATTGCGATGGTTTCCACGTTGAGGGGTTATTGGCGGACACGATTTTGAAGACCTCCACCCGCCTCCCGACTGCTTCCTCACCCGGTCGGTCACCTTGTGTAGGGGCGAACCCTGTTCCTCTCACAGCCTATCAAAGCAACTTTGATGAAAACAACTTTTCCATTACGCCCCTAGGTCTCCCGGGGGGCCCTGTCGGTCCACCTCGGAGAGGACGGGCTCTGTCGGTACAACAGAGACGATGGCTGGTTGGGTGGCAGGGACAGCCGGGAGTTGGCGGGGCACGACGGTAGGGGCGTCGGGGGGCCATTGTGAACCATCGAGGAAGAGGCCAATACATTTCAATAAAGTGATTCTCCACCCATTCCTGCTACTCCCGCTCGGTCCGAGACTCGACTCTTATTTTCAGTTACGCTTACAACGTCCGTAGGAGGGGATGAATTTTCTCGATGGGCAGACGGAACGTCGCGCCGTCAATCTCGCACTTAGCGTCGGCACGTTTCGTTTAGCCGATGATTCGCTGTGTCTTAGCTCCGAAAATTCGATATTATCGCTTATCTCAAACAGCAACTTCTCATGATTGGAGGATCCAGGACGGAAGGATCCTCGGAGACTGCGAGGCATGGAATTCAAAACTTCATTCTTGACCATCGGGAATGGACAAAGTAGATTCGAAGGAACGCAACGAGGGGAATCGGGGAAGACGCTCGGGCCATATGGAACGTTGACACTGATGTCACTCGAAAAAAGCAAGGAGTGCATAACAAAGAGATAGTTCCATTCGGTGCTTCGGGGTGGGCTCTGCGTCGGCGAGCGTGTGCTTGTAGCTTGAATGGGTAGGTGGGTGGATGGGTGGCGGGGTGCTCGCCACTTGGAAGGGTCTGTCTGAGCGAGTTGGCCTGAGTGGCTCGAGAACTCCGTCGTCGAGGACGGGGCAGGATGCGTAGAAAAGCCAGCCTGATGACCAATTTTGGAATTCCGGGCCTCGTCGCTTTTCGCAGTTCTCAGTGTCGTCCTTATTCGCCCCCCCTCCTTCCTTCGTGTGGGGCAAGATCTCACGCTCTTGTTCGCTGGGGGTATCTTGTGACCAAAAGGCTGATTTGAATCCTCGGAGAGCACTTGTTCACGAAGTGTGATGCGAGTGAGAAGTTTTTCCCTCCATGCTCGCTTTCAAACAACGGTTCAGCTGTTAGTTCCCAGACGGCGCGAGCCGACGACTCCACAGAGCTATTAACCCACTCGTTATCCTTGCCGTTCAGGGACCGCACCAGGCTGCTCTACGAAATGGGCAAAATATTCCGATGAGCAGCAAACGAATGTTCACAGAAGATTGTTCGAGAGCTCGTGTTACCCGCGAGTCCGATAAGATCGCCAGAGCCGTCAGAGGCTGTACGCTTGTGTCTGCCGACAAGCTGCGACCTCAGGCATTTGAAACGTTCGACCAACGCTTCCGACAGAAAGGTCTCCCGTCTTCCAATGAGACCACCTTCGATATCAGCATGGGGGAATCCACGCAACTGCTCTCATCCTCCCCCATGGAAGGAAAATTGCGGTTCCGAACCTCTATGAGTCTTTTTCCTGGTAGACTATGCCTCAAATTCTGCCATGCCTGTAGGAATAAGATCAAAAACTTACAGTGTACGAAGATGTGGGCGGTTTGGCTGAACGCCACCCCATCCTTATTCCTCGCGATGCATCGATATGGACCGCCGTCCACGTGCTCCACGGAGTCCAATAGTAACGAGCCATTGGCCAAAACACGCCATGTGCTCCCTTCAGTGCTGGTGTGGAGACTACGACCGTCATGTTGCCATGTCACCCTGGTCTCGTTGATTTCGGCATTGAGCGTCGAATTCGTTGAAGGCGTGGATGTGGATGCGGGGGAACTGCTCGTGTTCGAGACGAAGCCATCGACACTCGTTCCGGCTAAGGATATTACGCAGTGGAGGAGAACCTTGTGCCCTTGAATCGCGGTTGTGTTCCTCGGTCCCTCTATGATCCTGGGCTCTGGAAAGAGAAAAAAGACCGGCTTTACATGACGTTTCGTCGTCGGACACCGTGATTTTATTGGATAAATGGCTATTGCTTTCCAATCGTGGGCTTAGAGACGCTCGACCATTTAACGACAAGGGCCCTGTTGGGACTCAAGGTCCCGCAACTCCTTTTCAATCAAGTTCTGCGTTTCCGAACCCGTGGGGGCCCTTGAATGGAATCTTCCCCATTATCAGAATGTCGCCGCCTTCAAGTCCTGCTCTCAGCTGAATGTGACGGTAGATCTCGATCAATGGTGAATGGAGGACGATCTTTCTCTTCTGGATCCTCAGAAGCGTCCAACGTCTGAAAGGCTGACGAGCCTCATTCGAGCGGAGAGGGAGACTTCCGATAATTTTTCTTTGCTCAAATAAATGACGTCATTAGCCGCACATCTCCGAAGAATCCTCGAGAATCAGTCATGGCGAGCTCCGAAGTTCCAGGTCCGTCCGAACCCATAAACCCTGCGAGGAGATACCGAGAACTTCCGAACTCCGGTGCCTCGTCCGAATATATTCCCTCTGCCGTTTTGAAGGTCTCTCGTCGCAATGCAGGTCTGAATGAGCGGATTCTCGTTCCCGAGAGGCAGGATAAGAGAAATCGAGCTCAAGAGCAGAGAGTACGGCGGGCCCTTAGGAAGCCTGATTTTTGGCAAGAAGCCTTATTTCGAAAGAACCACGGGGCTCCAAGGGTAACAGCGCCCCGGAGTCCCTGTTCGAGGCGGGCGGAACAGGGCTCAGCCATGGATATATTGATGGAATAATGGTTTTGACAGCGACGTTGGTTTGAGAACACCGGCAGCGCTCGAGAAGCTTGTAGACGTCTTAGGTCGAAAGCGGGAAACTAGGAATTGAACGATCCAGGTTGAGCAATCACCGCAGCAGCCATCATCGTCATAGATCATGGAGCTCCATCGAAGTTCCAGGCTCGATAGTTCCCTCACATTGGCCGCCTACAGATTTCTCCAGCTCGTTCACGGGGAGAGCAGCCTTTGCCCCAGGAATCGCTGAGCTACCGAAAGTGAGATTCTAAACAAACCGATAGGCTTCCGATGCTGACATCGCACCTCATAGGAGAATACTCCCGAGGATCGTTCGAAACTCGCGGAGAAAAAAATCAACAATAGACATTGAATGATTCCTTCAAACTCTTCTCGGTAAGGAGTCGAGTGAGTGAGTGAGTTCATGTGACGTGTCAACGTGGCATGAGACGGAGTCGGGGACTGAGGCCGAAGCGAGGCTCATAGCCTTCGAGAGATAGCTCCGAGAAAAGCATCAAAAGCTCGTGAACCAGAGTGCGGCGTTGTCGTTGCCTTGTTGACATGCCACCCGATAACCTTCGAGGCGTGTGCTACGGCCCGGAGGCAGAAGTAGCTCCGAGCGCCGTTTACAGTCTGTAGGCGAGTCGCCTTCGCACTCTTTGTCAAACACGTTCATACTCGCTAGAGATCACGCTCGATTGCTCCAGCCGAATCACACCTTGATTCGGCCATCGCGCACCGGAAGATCGAATCAGAAGGACAGGACAATTCAGTAGAGGAGGGCACATCAGCTCGAAGCAATCCTCAGACCAGGGCGCATCCAGAGCAAGTTATATGCATTTCTGAACGGGCAGCCGTAAAATCCTGAGTGATAGGGGTGAAGGGCTGAAATTAGAGTGACTTCGAGTCAGTCGACCAGCTCCCCAAGTGATGACCAATAAGGTGATGAATCCGCACTTTTGAATACGCTCCACCCATCCCCTCCGAAGAGCTAACGCTGCAAGTCTTCTTGAAAAGAAGGGCGATTCGATCCTTGAGGAAGTCTGCAGATTGTGCTGGGAGAGAAAATTCGGGAAGATTCGGGGACTCCACCTCGTTACGCGATTCATGTCGCGGCAGCATTCAAATAGTCCGCAAATTTCGCAATCGCGGAGCGGATCCGTATTTTATGCACGAGGTCACGTCAGGGAATTCGCGGGAAGTTTATCTTAGAAGCTAAAGAGTTCCCTAAGGTCTACCGACTTCGTCCGTCGACGGGACGAGATCCTCCGCTCCCCGAACACTCGCCCCCGAGTGCGACAGATCCTAAGCGGGCAAACCCCAACGCTCAGGCAAGAGAAGACCCCGGGAGTTGATCCTCGTGTACATCACATTCGCGCTACCCAACAGGAAATGGATCTGATCTATTGGGACAGTCGGTCAATGGTTTTGAGACTGTCAGTGGTTCAAACGGCGGCCGAAAGTCAGAAGTCTCCGTCGATCTCATAGGAAAGTGTCCCACACCGCTCAGGGAAAGTTGGTAAGCCTGTACACATATCAGCTCGTGACCATCACAGCTTGATGGATCATCGCGCGGCGTAGCGATGGTACGTTAGATCCAACGAATTCGAAACACGACCATCCGACAGGGCCGAACCCTTGTTCATTAAACGATTAGGAGTCAGTCACCCCGTTCGTCGTCATGTCTACCATCCTAATTCCTAAACTTTCAATGTATGCATACGAATTACCCCGTTCAAATTCCTCGCGAAGGCTGACCCGTCGGGTCTTCTAGTCGGACGCGTTGACACGAGCGACCCCCGACGAATCCCTCTAGCGACGGAAACCGAGGCTTTCGAGAGAGATCGGGTGAGATGGATGTGCTCCTGACTTCAGCTACCCCGCGGCTCACGGAAATTTCGATTAATTTGAGCTAAGGACGCGGAGTAGCTTGTAGCTTGGGATTGGGTTACATGTTCCTTCAATTTCGTTTCCCGTGATCGCTGCATCTCATAGTCTCGTGAAATTCCAGAGTTTTCCGTACACGGGCTTTCGGAGCTCTCGTCTCGAGATTCGAAAACTTTGCTCGCGTCAAGTGCGTCATTCCTATCAACTTACAAAGCTGCATATCAATCCTCGGCGCGGAGCGCTGGGGGCCAAATTCAATTTATGAGCGTGAAGCCCGCGTCTTCCGCTCGTCCTCTCCTTCAACGTCGTTTAGGAGTCTCGCGTTTTTGTTCGAGGGCCGCGTCATCGCGTTATTTTCATGAGTTAACTTTAATTATTGAAGTCAGTTGGGGGCAAAGCCATGAACATTTCATAATGGGCTGCCATTAGCATCATTGGAACAGTTGAGTTCCGTTCTGCGAAGAGGAGAAATCGGCGAGGACTACACACCGAAGCGGCTCTGGGACATTCGTTCGGAATTCTATTTCCACTCTTGAGATTTTCGTCGATTTTTTCCCACTTTCCCGCCTTATTGGATTGCGTTGGCAGATCAGAGCCTGCATCGCACAGCTGCATCTACCTACGACAAGCATCCGACAAGAGTTCTAATTTCGTTGGCCTAATGCGTCGTCATATCTCACTGTCTGCTTTTCGCATCGCTGTCATCCTCGTTGTTTGCGCAGTCGAAGGCGTCGACTACGAAGACTTTTAATTAAAAGTAGGATCGCATCATAAAGTCTTTTGACTTGTGAAGTCTAGCAGCCTGACATCCCGGATCCCGGCTCGTGGGGTGGGGAGAACGCTCTTCATTCCTGAACACGGTTCCTGCAGCTCAGGAAGCTCTAGGATTTCCTCGGAAGCAAAAATCTTCGAATCCACCGACGGCCTCCTCGATCCAGGAGAACACCGAGCTTCCCATTTCGCCCTTGGCCGTTCGACCCCGAAATCAACGCATTCGCTAAATGGATCACACAAGCCGGTCCACGACAAAGTTTCCAATGTGCGCCTACTCGGTACGGGGAACGTCCAGGTCTTCTTATGTACCGCTTCCGTGTTCGTTTTCTTCTATTTATCTCTCGGTGAGTGCGCCTGAACTCTCGGCCAGGTCGGACACATTAAATTGTCAATATCTTTCATGCCGCTCATTCTTGCTGGCTTCCTTCTGGTCCCCTCCCTCTCTCTCAGTTTCTCTCTTCTGCCAAGTTTCTCGTGCAATATGCGCTTGACCATTAGGCGTTCCGAGGTTCAATTTTTCATGCACCTCCCGTGTGTGTCGAACGCAAGAACTCATGACCGAGCGCGCTACATCGCGAAAACTCGTTGGAGCTTGGAAGATTTTTTCCAAAACTGTGTTCGGAACGACTTTTAACGAATTTCTTTCTGAAGTGCTAACGATGTTCGGCGGAACCGCGACTTTTGATGTTAGCACAAAGGGGGCAGAGGTTTCGTCGAGGATAACAGGACGAAGGGGAGGATGGCATGGGGCAGCTGGAGCCCATCTCTGCGAACAACTAGCTGCTGGTTGCTTACTCCTCTCCCTACCCTTCTACCCCCGAACGACAAGCTCCGGGGAGCTTCGTGAACATCATAAGTCATGGACTGCTTGTCGCTTTTGGTACGGCGCAGCTCCACGAAACCGGGATCGCAACTCAGTTGCCCCTTCCGTTTTGCTACTCGCCGTCGTCGTCGCCCGTGTCTCGGAGCCGCGGTCCCCGAATCTTTGCCCCCACTCGGCGGCCGCTGCCACCTCGCGGAGAAGCCTCCCCACCGAGCAAGGTTTTTATCTTCCGTCTCGTTCACCACCGCGATTTTTATCCAAAGATCCGGCCGGGCAACCAACCAACCGAGCTTCAGACAAGCAAGCAAGCAGGCAAGCGAGCGGGCGAGCAGACAGACTAGCGAAGCGAGCCGATCCGGGCCGGGGGTCTGCTCTGTCAATTGTGGGATGCAGCTTCAAAGAGATCCCTACCGAAGACGTCGGCAAAGATTCTCTTTTCTTCACATTCACTTTTTTCTTCTGGTGCAGCCGCAGCCGTCGCCGCTGCCTGCCCTCAATCTTCGCACTTTCACAACACAGCTCTAATTCTCATCGAACGATCCTGCAACTTCACTCCGGGCAACTGTCTGTCGTTGAAGTTTCACCGAGGACATGAATGGGATCGGAAGACCGACCCTGGGGCTCCCCTAAACACCTTGTGAATTCGCGAGTTTCTTGGGCCAATAGGCGACAGATCTTCGCATCACTTGGATTCTTGAATCTACAACAAACCTGAACCGACATCGCCGAATC